CACCCAGCTTGTTGGGGGGGGGCTGCAGGCACCCCGTCCCCTGGGTGCTCTGGAGCCCATGGGGATGTGGGGCAGCAGCCCCCTGGGCAGGGTGGTGGTGGTGGGACCCGGTGTCTGGGTGCCGCAGGGTGGCCCCCCCGGTCCCTGTTGTGACGGGGACAAGGATGTCCCCGAGCTGCTCTGCTCTTCCTCCCGCCCTCCCCAGCTTCCTCTCCATCTGCGGCTCATCCAGGGCCACCATCCATCCCTGCCCTGGCGTTGGCTCCTTCCGTCTTTCCTCCTCCTGTCCCTCCACCCCATCCCTTTGCAGGGGGTGGGTGCCCTCAGCACCCCCCTAGACACCCCCAGCACCCCCCTAGACACCCCCAGGACCCCCCTAGACACCTCCAGCACCCCACTCTCCCCCTCCCCAGGCCTCCAGCACCTTCCCCACCGCCTTCACCCACCTGGAACTTCTCTGCCTCCCCGCGCTGCTCCTGCCACTGCCGGGCCAGGCTCTCCTCCAGCATCTCTTTCCGCGCTTTGAGCCCCGCCAGGTCCTTCTCCAGGTGCTGCAGCTGGAGCTGGCTCTGCTGGTTGTCCTCCACCGCCTTCCAGAGGTTCTCCTTGGCCTGGCAGAGGGAACCCTCCAGCTGCGACACCTCCGTCTTGTAGGTCTCCACCGCCCCTTTCCAGATCTCCGAGAGCCTCTTGGAGTAGTCCTCCACCTCCACTGGCTGGAAAGCCACCGGGGCGCAGCGGAAGCTCTCCAGGCTCTGTGAGAAGCTGGCGATCTCCTGGTCCAGCCCCGCTTTCTCCTCCTCATGCACCTCCAGCAAGGCTTCCACCTCCTTCTCCAGCTGCACGGCCCTCTCCTTCAGCCAGATCTGCGCCCTCCTCTCCTCCTCCAGCTCCTTCCTGCTCAAGGAGAGCTGCTTCTTGGCTTCTTCTCGGGCCGCCTGCTCCTTCTGGCACCTGCTCTTCACCTGCTGGACCTCCTCGTAGAGGTTGTCCCTGGCCAGCTCGGCCGTGCACTTCTCCCTGAAGGCGTGATCCAGGGCATCCCTCAGGGCTCGCAGCTCCTCCTCGTACTTCGCCCTCCACGACTCCCCGGCGGGGCTGCCCTTGGCGCTCTGGATTTCGGCTCGCAGCACCTCGTTCTCCTCCTCCAGGAACTTGACGCGGGCCAGGTAGGCCTCCAGCCGCTTGTTGAGGTCCCACATCTGCAAGGACTCCTCGCCCAGGGCTCTCGCCCCAGCGAAACTTTCCATGCTCAGCATCGGCGCGGCCGGAGGAGGATGCCGGGGCTCGGATGCCGGGGGGATGCCGGGGGGATGCTGGGGGGATGCTGGGAGCTCTGGAGGAGAGGGAAGGCACGGGGAGGGAAGCGAATGGCTGGGAAAGGAGGGGAGGGCAGCTATTCATACTCTGCCGGGCGAGTGGGAGGCCCCTGAGACCCGGGCGAGCAGCTGGGCTTAACTCTTCCGCAGCCGGGCTAGTTCCAGCCCCACGTGGGCTCGGTGCTGGCCGTCATTTCCCAGCCCCGGGGAGGGGAAAAATGTTTCTTTCCACTTTGGGAGGGTGGTTTGAGGAGTCGCATCCTGCGCATCCCCCTCCGGCGTGGCTCGGCTGGGAAAACCCCCTCAAAGCTCCATGTGGGGTGCCGTGGGGCTTGGCGTGGAGCTTGGGGGATGTCCAAGGCTGGGTTGGCAGATGCCAGTCCTTGAGGGCTTGGCTATGGGCATCCTTCTCTGACAGCTCACTGGCCCCACGCCACCCCGAAACCCGGGGCCGAGGGAGCCCAGAGGGAGCCCGGGGGGGGTCTCACAGTCTGGGGGAGGTGACAGTGGCACTGGGGGACACCAGTCTCGGTGGCTGGGGCAGTTTTGGGCTCGGCACAAGCCACGGCTGAGCTGGTCCCATGGTGGCCACACGGGCATCACTTTGCCCAGAGGGGGATACCCAGCCCACCTCCCCCCCCCCAGAGGGGGATAACGGGGGGGGGCACAGGGGATCATCCCAGCCCATCTTCCCCCCACCACACACAACTTGGGGTGCTGCGTCCAGCTGTGTCCAGCTGCAATCTCCTCTCTTTCCAGATGTGCGCGGCGGGAGCCGGGAGCCCAACGGGGACTTTCACCGGCCGCCTCCGAAACTTGGCAAGCGCCGCCTCCACATTTGGTTTCATTCACAGCTTTCACCCGCTCGGCCGCGCCGTCACGGTGGGGTTATGAATCTCTTCGCGGGGAGCATTTGGGGGATTATTATTATTATTGTTATTTTTTGTTTCTCTCTCTTTCCCCCTTCCCTCCCCCTTCACTCCCCCCCGCAGCTGATTTATTTGAGGGAGGGGGAGGGCAGCGGGCTGGCGAGGGGAGGAGGTTTAAAAATTCAAACTCGGGAGGTTTCTGTGAACAAAAGAGGGAGGAAAACGTCATTTGGGGGGAGAGAGTCGTTGCCAGCTTTTTTCTCCCCGTCCTCCCTCTCCCGGAGAGACGGTGGTTTTCCCACGGGAGGGTCCCTCGCCAGGGCAAGGAGGAGAAGATTAAATGTCCCCCCCCGGAGCAGGCTCCAGGAGAGCTCCTCCAGAGAGACAAGCAACAGTCCCCTCTGCTGGCAAAGGCCACCCAGAGCTGTCCCCGAGCTCCTTCCAGCCTTGAGCCACCCGGGAATTTGTGGGATCCCCGTGTCCCCCACATCTGAGAGTGGCAATAACATTCCAGCCCCCCTTGGCTCTGCAGGGAGGGGGTTTTCCCCCACTGCTGCTTCATCCCGGTGCCTGGACGGTGGGGAGGGGGGGGATGCCCCGGCTTGGGGGTCCCCAAAGGCATCGGTTTCCCAGCTCATCTCCGGCCAGACATCCTGTCTGGCTCCCCGGGCCCGGCTCTGGTTTGCCTCTCGCAGCCGGGATTGAAATGCCATTAAGCAGCTCCGGGGAGCACCGAGGTCGAGTCATTCATCTCCGGGTCCCCGGAGATCCCGGCAGCGGGGTGATGGAGCCCTGCTGTGCTCCTTCTTCCTCCTCCTCCTTCTTCATCCTCCTCCTTCTTCATCCTCCTCCTCCTCCTTCTTCATCCTCCTCCTCCTTCTTCATCCTCCTCCTCCTTCTTCGTCCTCCTCCTCCTTCTTTGTCCTCCTCCTCGTTCTTCGTCCTCCTCCTCCTTCTTCATCCTCCTCCTCCTTCTTTGTCCTCCTCCTTCTTCATCCTCCTCCTCCTTCTTCGTCCTCCTCCTCCTTCTTCGTCCTCCTCCTCCTTCTTCATCCTCCTCCTCCTTTCCACAGCCCGTCCACTCCGGAGCCCGCCGTCCCCGCAGCCCGGCTGCTCTACCAGCTCCCAGTTTCCTCCTCCCACTGGGGAGACTGGGTGCCCCAGGGCTGCCCAAGGGCCACCCCCTCTCAGTATTGGTGTCTGCCACAAGGCGGCCCTCAGCGCCTGCGGCTACGCCGGGAGGAGCCCTGGGATGGAGATTTCCTTCCTCCCCGGCTTCTCTCTCCTCTTCCTCCTCATGCTTTTTGCTTGGGCTTTCCCCATTATGCCCGTTATGTTCGCTGGGACAGCCCAAATCCTGCAGCCCCCAGAGGATTGGGGATCCCCTGGGGGGGTAGAGGGGTCCCAGCACCTCCCTGCCCGGGGTAGGCTGGGGGCAGAGCTGGGGGGGGCACACTGGGGTGGGGATGTCTGTGTGTCCTGTCGTCCTGTGGGGTGCTCAGGGATGGGAGTCACTTGGGAGGGGGACATCCACATCCCTGGGGGATATTTGGAGACAGGAGCCACCTGAGGTAGGGATGTCCATGTCTCTGGGGGATGCTTGGGGTCAGAACCCCCTGGGATGAGGATGTTCGTGTTCCTGGGGGATGCTCAGGGTCAGGATCCCTCCAGGGTGGAGACATCCAGGTCCCTGTGGGATGCTCGGGATCAGAACGGGCTGGAATGGGGACATCTGTATCCCTGGGGGTTGCTCAGGGTCAGGAGCCTCTCAAGAGGGGGATGTCCATGTCCCTGGGGGATGTTCAGGGTTGAGACACCCCTGGGATGGGGATGTCTGTGTCCCTGAGAAATATCCAGGGTCAGGAACCACGGGGGGATGCTCAGGGTCAGGATTCCCTGGGATGGGGATATCCATATCCCTGGAGGATGGATGGGATCCTCTGGGATGGGGACCTCTGTGTCCCTGGGGGATGCTCAGGGTCAGGAGGCACCCAGGGTGAGGACATCCATGTCCTTGAGGGATACTCAGAGTTGGGAGCCTCTCAGGAGGGGGACATCCGTGTTTCTGGGGGATGCTTGGGGTTGAAACCCACCCTGGGATCAGGATGTCCGTGTCCCTGGGAGATGTCCAGGGTCAGGAGCCACCCGAGGTGGGGACACGATGTCTCTGGGGGATGCTCGGGGTCAGAACCCCCCAGAATGGTGACATCTGTGCCCCCCAGTCCCTGCAGGGTGCTTGGGGGTGGCATATTGGCAGCAGCCAAGGTTTGGGGGGGTGGCAGATTTGCGGGTGCCACAGCCCTGCACCCCTCGGTGGGTGCGTGTCGCCTCAGGGTAAGCTTGGTACGGGGTGAGCAGCAAGCGCTGCTACGTGGCTTTGAGCAGGGCTGGAGGGGGAGGAAGAGG